CATCTCTGACCACAGTTGGTGGTCAGACTTTTAATCTGGTTGGCTGATAAGCGAGCCCCACTGTGGGTGGATACACAGTTGGAGGGCGGATTCGTAAGCCCGAATCTGACCTCATGCCGAAGAAGACACGGTGTGGTATCTATATGGGGGGGAAAAAAGAACTGAAGCTCACCACTGCTCTCTACTTCCTGAAACAGGAGAGCCAGAGCTTTTTCCCCAGAGAACAATTCACATGGCATTCTTTTGTACTAGAGACCACTGCAGATGTGTTTAAATATGAGTGAACTTGATCTTTAATAAAGTGTCTATTATATCACCCAGCAGGTAAGAATATTAGGTGTTGTTCCTCATGAGCCACAACTCGTTTGGACACCGCAGGATGAAATTCAGACGTGAATCAAACTTATTCCCAGTGTGATTCTGGCTTTAGTCGGTTTATTTTTTCATTTCAGCTTAAATTGGCAGCTCAGGAGGTAGAGCAGGTTGTCCAGTTATCGGAAGGTTGCTGGTTTGATCCCGGCTCCCACCAGAGAATGCTGCTGTTGTGTCCTTGGGCAAAAATTACCAGGGTCTTCAAAATCGTGTGATTTCCTGTCTAGTCCTATATTAACTGCAGAAAACGCCTGAAAACTGCCGCATTATGGCTGGTTTGAATCATCCCCATAGACGCTACTGGATTCTCTTTGAAGCGGCAACGTTCCGCTGCCGTTCCATGCCGCTGAGGCTGCCAGTATGCAGTAGGCTTTAACCCACCATGCCTGCAGTGGTCGGAGGGACCGGTGGCGCCAGCCTCACCTCTGTCACTGCGCCTCAGGGGAGCTGAGGCTATAATGTACCTGAATGACTGATTGTGTTATAAAGCGCCTTGGAGGGTTGCAGAACCCTAAGAAAGCGCCATGGAAACACAGGCCATTAACATTTACCGCATGTAAATGTTTCATGTTTCATATTTTTAGTGTTGGACAGAAATTTGGTTGAACTCCTCATGTTTTTTTAAGATGTTTTATAAATAAATAAGATTAAAAGTCTGTGTTTGGTCTGTAGTCTGGTTAGGTGGTGAAAACCAGCTAAAACAGGCAGGTGGGAAACCCAAAGCAGCTGAGGGATGTGACGTAGGTACCTGTGGATGATGTGTTGGCTCCGCAGGTAGTCCAACGCCAGGGCCATCTCACACAGGTAGAGTCTGACGGCGTCCTCGCTGAACTGGACGTTCTGCTGCAGGTGGTAACGCAGGTCTCCTCCCAGCAGGAGGTCAACCACCATGAACATGTCCTCCTCATCCTGGAATGAGTACCTGGGACAGCAGGACAACTGGGACTCAACCGTGGCATCGATGTGGCAACAAACATGTGCACACACACACACACGCACACACACACACACACGTAAAGCTCATGCAAAAGGACAACATGCCACCACGGTTCTACGTGTGTTCTGTTGAACTCTTTCATTGTTTCTTCTCTGACTGGATCATTTATCTGCTAGGTTTAAAGACACTAAATTCCTACGTTTTCATTTACTAACTACTTATTTCACTTCAGCTCAGCTCAGATTCTGGTGAATCCCGATTGCAAATGGAATTTTTAATCCTGAATCCCCTTCCAGCCTCATCTGGTCAGGAATTTTAAAGCGTTTGATATCAGCTCCGTCAGACATGATCAGATGATTTAGTCGCTTTTCCTCAGAATTTATTATTGTTAGAAGAATCTGAATCCAGTCATCTTGAGTCTGAATAACAACTTTATCTAACTGATTAAAGTTCATCACACACGGGTGAATTTCATCTCCCCACCTGACCCATCCCCTCGGGGGGCGGTGAGCTGCAGCAGCGGCTGCGCTCAGGAACCATTAGGTGGTCTAACCCCCTAGTCCAACCCCTTAAAGCTGAGTGTTCAGCAGGGAGGTGTTGGGTCCCATTTCTAACGCTTTTGGTATGACCCGACCGGGATTTGAACCCCGCGTTCCCAGCCCCAGGGCGGCCACTAAGAAGGTCCATTAGTAGTTATTATGGGGTAGATCTCCTGAAGGACTCTTGTAGGAAACTTCCGGTTGTTGTAGAAAACATAATTTTTCTAGTTTCTTGTGTTTTTCTTTTTTTTTACCTGTAAACTGAATATTAATGTCTCACAGTTGTGATTTTAAGTGTAAAGCAGAAACTTTTCTTTAAAATGAGAAAAAAAACTTTGAAAAGAAAAACTTTTTAAAAATAATTTGAACAAAAATTTAAATTTAAAAAACATTAAGAAAAAAAATATCCTAATAACTATTAGAGTCAGCCCCTGCAAAAAAAGGTCCCTTGTTTATAATAATGTACCATAATTATGGATGTGGGATCTGCTGGACGCAGCCTGTTGGATAAAAAGATTGTTTTTTCAAACAGAGTTCATTAACCTTACTCACATTTAACGTGGTAAATATGATTTTGTCTGAGAAACATCTGGTGTTATTAACCGGCCCCTGCCGCAGGGGAAAATCGACCTTGTAAGCCTGCAGTTCTATTTCCACAACAAATTCTCTGAACCTGGGAAAGTTCAGTGTCTGTGAAGGAGAAGGTTGGGTCAACTTTCAATGTGTGTGTGCTTTGTCATCTGTGAATAAAACCTTTTGATGGGCTTCCGCTTGTTGAGAGACTAAACCGACCTCCCTGGTGTGTGAGTGTTTCTTTAATCTCTCTGGTTTTGCAAAGTCTGATTATTGATTATTTGTGTTTATTGGTAAATGGTATTAATAACAATATTATCTCTAACCCCCCTTGTGTGTTTTGGACTTTCTTTGAGGTACGCCTGGATTAAATGAATAAAAATACCCAACACAGCCGACGCGGTCGGACGGACCGAAGGAGAAGGAAAAGTTCTTCCCGACAGCCTGGAAACGTAACTAACCTCCATAATTTTCCCAACAGCGGCAAAAAGAAAGGAAAGAGCCGACAGAGTCTTAATGAAAGCTGCTCTTTTTTTATTTTTATTTTTATTTATTTATTGAGAACCTCATTAGCTCACACCATAGTGTGGAGCTATTCTTCCTGAGGTCTCTTTCAATTTCATTACAAATATTTAACAAAACACCCCCATCCCCATCCCCACACACACACACACCCAGCAACAACAAACTCCAGGAGCTCATTATAATCGTACCACCTCAATTGCTATAATATACCAATAAGTTACCACACACTTCAGAGTTCATGAAAAATCTAAATAGGTGAAAACGGAGAGTTTACACAGAGCAATAAATAACTATATTCAAGAATCAAAAATCATATCGCATCACATCCATAACAAACAAAAATTATAGAAGCTGTCATATCAGTCACATTTACAATTCACTGTGCAAAATTTACTGTTGTGTGAACAAGAAAAGCTTTAACTTCTTTTGAAAACATCTTCTGTTGTTCTCTAATAACAAAAATCTCGGTATGGCATTCCATGCAACCATGGCTCTGTAATAAACTGCTCTTTGCCTTTGATTAGTTCTGCAGCGCGGTAGTGCGCACCTTATGTCACTTGTCTGTCTCGTCGTGTAATCATGATTGTCTGAAAAAAATGATAATTTGTCATAAATTATTTTAGGTATTTTTGTAGTTATTATATTTCTTATAAATGTGATCAGTGAATATTTTAATCTACATTTCACTGTTAACCAGGCCAACCTATCGTGCATTATACTTACATTTGTTCTATAATTACAACCCAGAACAATTCGTGCAGCTTTATTTTGTGCCACTTGTAACTTATTTAAATTCATTTCACTTGTATTAGACCAAATAAATGATGCGTAATCTAAATGAGACAGTACTAATGTTTGAACTAAAGTTTTTATTTGCAAACGAGGAATAAATTTACAACAATATTTGATCGTGCCCATACTTCTTCCAAGTTTCAGCAGGACATGATTTATGTGACTAGTCCATGACAATCTAGAATCCACAATTACCCCCAACAGTCTTGCTTCTTCTACCTGCTCTATCGCTATGTTACCTAGCTTCAAATGCAGTCTAGGTGTCATCTGTAGTGTATATGTATTCCCCACTATCATGCATTTAGTTTTTTCTGCATTGATTTCTAGTTTGTTCATTCTAAACCATTGTGTAACTAAATCCAACTCCTTTTTTAAAATATCATTTAATTGGCCTTCTGTTTGTGCTGATGCAAATAATGTTGTGTCATCTGCATATATAGCCATGGTTGCATGTTTTAAAATCAAAGGTAAGTCATTAATAAAAATAGAAAACAAAAGAGGGCCCAAACAACTGCCCTGTGGCACTCCACAATCTAACTGACCCGTTTCAGAATAACTGCCATTAAAATAGAAGTTGAATTTGCGATTCGTTAAATAACTTTCTGTCCACTTAATGGCGGACGACTGAAATTTATAACGTTCTAATTTTTTTAATAAGATTTTATTATCAATCACATCAAAAGCTGCACTCAAATCTAAAAATATAGTACCAACTAACTTTTTATCATCTATTTCTTCTAACCAATGATCAGTAATCTGAGCAAGTGCAGTAGTAGTGGAGTGACCCGCCTTATATGCATGTTGATAAATTGTGTTTAATCTATTTGTTATAAAATATTCTTGTATTTGTTCATATGCTACTCTTTCCAAAAGTTTGCTTAATGCTGGTAGCAAACTTATTGGCCGACTATTTTTACCAGACAGTGGTTCTCGGTTATTTTTTATTAATGGAATTACTTTAGCCTTTTTCCATTGGGCTGGAAAAATACTTCGATTAAAACTTATGTTAATAATATGTGAAACTGGCAGTAAAATAAAATCTGCCACCAATTTTAGCAATCTTATATCAATATCATCAATTCCAGGGGGTTTATCTTTACTATTTAAGATTAATTTTTTAATGTAATCCTCTGATACCTCCATAAACTTAAACTCACAATCTTTCATTTGCATGATATCGTCCTTAATTCTTTGATAAGATGTATTTTCTTCTTTTCTCTCCTCCCTGGTATTATTCAATGTTTTAATTTTATTGATAAAAAACAGTTTTAAATAATCAGCTATTTCTTTTGGTTTGGTTAAAAAAACTCCATCTGCCTCTAGAACAGTAGGTGCCTTCCTTTTTTTAACCCCCAAAAGCTCATTTAATGTACCCCACACCTTTGCATGATCTAATTTAGCTTCTATGATTCTTCTATGATAATATAATTGTTTTTTATTTTTATTCAGTTTGGTTACAATGTTCCGTATTTTGCGATATTCGCACCATGTTTCCAATTGATTTGTTTTTATTGCTTCTAATTTTAATTTGTCCCTCTGCCTCATACGTTCCTTAAGTTCTTTATCCAGCCATGGAGAAGCTACATTTCTTACTGCCTGTTTCCTCATCGGTGCATGTTTATTCATCACCTTTGTTAACAAATTGTCAAAGATCTCTACAGCTTTACCCGGATCCTGCTCCTTTGTTACATCTTTCCAATGTATGTTTCTTATTTCTTCTACAAAATCACTCTCTTTAAAGTTTTTAAAAATTCTTTTATATATAAAGTGTTGACCTTTTGGCACCTTGACTTTTCTTTTAATAGCAACTAAATTATGGTCACTGCATCCAACTGGAACAGAAATTGCCTCAGAACATAATTCAGCCATATTAGTAAAAATTAAATCAATACACGTTTTAGAGCAGACACCATTATTTTTAACCTGCACTCTTGTGAAATCTTTTACAACTTGTGACAAATTAAAAGTATTAGCAAATGAGGTTAATTTACTCTTTAATGAGCAATTTCTTGATTTCCAATCAATGTTTAAGTCCCCTAATAGGTAAATCTCATTTCCTGTGTCACAAACCATATCTAACATTTCACCTATTTGATGGAGATACATTATAGCAGCATCCGGCGGTCTGTAGCAACATCCAACTAAAACAGATTTCAAATGAGGAAATTGTAACTGTAACCAGAGTGCTTCCACACCTGTAATTGTGAACTCTGTTCTTACCTTAACAGGAATATGATTTTGAATATAAAAAGCAACACCACCTCCATGTAAAGTTCTATCCAATCTAAAGAGACTGTACCCATTTATGTCTAATAAAGAACTATTTATTGTCAAATCCAAATGTGTTTCTGTTATTGCCATTACCTGTAAATTATACTTTTCTACAATATCTTGAATATCATCTATTTTATTCCTTAAACTACACACATTCAAATGAGCTAATTTAAACCCTCCTTTTTGCAACAACATTTTATCAGCCATTGAAGATTCGTTTAGAACTTCTTCTACCGGTATTTATAATTTCACACTGAGCTTCCATTATTGCTTTTATCCCAA